CAGCAACCCTCAGTTTGTTTCCTGAGATTAAGAATTCCTCATATCAGTGAGAGCATATGATACATGTCTTTCTCTGATTGACTTATTTCGCTTAGCATAATATCGTAGGTGACTTTTAAACTTGTTTCTTTTTAGGCAAGATGGCATGTCTTAAATTCATCTTACAAATTTCCTAACCCAGAAATGAATCAGCCATTTCTCAAAAAACAAAAAACCCAAATTCCTTTTAGTGGGAAATTGCATTTAGACACTACAATCTAGGCACCAGGGACATGTATTGCAACTGACTTGTCAGTACTGGTCACTCTTTTTGGTGAATACGGTTAGGAAATGTATCATTCATCCTGGTTCTTCCAGTTCGAATTAAATATTGTGAGAAAACCCAGTAGGTCAGATTGACAAATTGTGAACTCAGAAGACTCAGAGATCTTACCCAGTACCAAACTTGACTAATATCTTCAGAGATATAATTATCACAAGACACAGGTAAAATGTCGAAAGTCCGTGACTGCCAGGGCTACTCCCAGGTCCTGCTTACGTCAGTTAGGATGCACCCTGGCCCAGATTACATACGAGGCCTCTAAATGATGCATATGGAATGTCACTTCCATGAAAGGGAGCTATTTCCATTACGAATTATCTCCAGTTTATTCCCTGATAATTGTATAGCTTGTGTGATATTTTCTAGGAAGCATTCCTCATAAATACATACATCCCAGGTTTATGTACAGTGAGCAGTCTAGACACACAACATCCATCCTGCTAAAGCGTTCCATAGGTAAGGAGAACCCTCCTGGGAGTAAATACCTTTAGATGTTTGCGAGGAGGTCTTTGATCAGCATGTTTCTAACATGATTTGATCATGTCACCTCTCTCTGTTTATATATAACATAAGTTACATATGCATGGCTTTAAGTTTGTGCAGTCCCAACTACATTAGAATTGGGTACTATGACAGTTACTTCTAGACTTGCTTCCTTTATTGGCCTCTCATCCATATCTCTGCCATATTGATCTTCCTAAAACCCAGATTTGATCCATAACTCCCCTATTTACAGCCCTTCATTATCTCCCTATTTGCCTGTGAGATGAAGCACAAACTCCTTAGCATGATTCCCAAAGCCTTCCGTGTGCGGCATGCCTGCTGGCCTCTGTGACTTCATCTCCCGCAGCTCTGCCCAAGACCCTCTTACAGCTATATCAGACTCTTCACCAATCTTCAAATACACCATGCAGTTTATGCCTCTAGGTCTTTGTACAAGTTCTTCCTGCTGTTTGGAATACCTTCCTCAACCCTTTGCCCAAGGTTATCATATTTCTACTCATCCTTAAAGATGAACGTAAGTTTCTCCTTTCTGAAGCAGATCTGAACCACCCAAGGGCAGTTGAAGAGTCTCATGTCTTTAAGAACTTCCTGCTTGGTGTCCCTGCTTTCCCCCTTTCCCCCCTTATGGCAGTTCTCTTAGCAGCAGCCAGACCAGTGTCCCTTCCTGTTCAGAGCCTCCAGTGGCTTCCTGTCACATTCAGAATAAAATCTAAACAAGGCCTTACATGATCAAGTGCTTCCTATCTCTCTGATATTTTCTGCCACTTCCCTTCACTCACATGACTCCAGCCACACTTGCCTTCTTGCTGTTTGTTGACTGTTTCACACTTATTTCCAACTGTGTCTGAGATCCCCAGGACCACACCTGCAGCTCGATGATTCTCCATGAGACTCGCAGGACTGAGCATATAGTCATATTTAGGGCTATGATTTATTATGGCAAAAGAACACAAAGCAAAATCAATAAAGAGAAAGATACATGGGTGAAGTCTGGGGAAAACTGGATGCAAGCTTCCAAAGGTCCTCTCTCTGGGGAGTCACACAGAACATATTTAATTTCCCCAGTAACAAGTTGTGACAACACATGTGACATGCTGTCTACCAGGGAAATCGATTAGAGACCTAATACTTGGAGTCATTGTAGGGGGCTGGTCATGTAGGCAGTCTGTGCCTAGCACATACCAAATTTGCAGACTTGCTCAAGGAAAGCAGGTGTTGACCATAAACCATATTGTTTGTACAGTTGGGATGAGTCACTCATAACAGGGT